CTGCATGAACCTGTTGACTGCTGTGGCTACTGAGTCAAAGACGGCTGGGCTGGAGCGGAGGCCGAAAGGCAAAAAGCGCTCGTAGTAGTAGGAGCCTTCCCAGCGAAGTCCTGACCGCGGACTGGGATCTGCCGAAATGCACTGCGTACATCGAGCTTGGACAAATACACAGGCTGTGGGCATGACATGATGATGTTGATGGCGTTGTCAAGGCTCGCGTAGTGCAGAGAGAGAGCGGCTCGGCAGGAATACTGTCGTTCGCGCTGGTGCCTTCCGGACTAGACAGATGGTGGATCATTCGCAGCTTGCCGTTCTTTTTGGGGATGGCACCAATACCAGAGCGGCGCATGAACTGATATGGAGGTGACGGAAATGGGCCTGTGGTCTCGCTGCGGGCGCAGGAAGCAGCTAATTGCTCGGATAAAGATGCCGAGTGAGTGAAAGCCAAGGGTAGATTATTAGAGAAAACCGAAATTTCGTGTTGGCCGGCAGATCCAAGAGTAAAGGCACGGCGCATGCCATGGAGAACATACGCAACACATGATTGATCTCAGTGGTTATGTAACAGGCGGGCAAAGTGGTCAGCTAGCAGTGTGGTGTCTGCAGAGTGTATAGGAAAGAAGCTAAGTACCGAGTCAAGCGATTCAGTAGCCATTCTGCTAGGAGCGGCGGGGTGGCCGATTGGCTCCGCGCTGCTGCTGGTTGCACATGATGCATGGGTGGTCCTTGCCACACTGGCTGCAGGTGTGGGAGAAGCGGCACGACGACGAAGAACAGCGACCTCCATTGAAGTTGCGGCAGATTTCTTGGCCGTCGCTGGTATGGTTGCGACCACTGGAGGTAAATGCTGCTGGCTTGGGGACGAAAAGGACACAAACCGCCCCTGGATGGACCGTCTTACATTGAGCGCATTTTGGGTGTACATGGCCTGTGACAGCTATCTGCCATAGGTTCACGTGGATGGCGTCCAACCTCTTCGTGCCTTGTTACTGGGCCACGAGCATCCGCAGCTGGCGGCCGTACTCTAGCCAAGCGCTTGGGAAGAACTGGCGGTTAGCAGTCAGGATCAACTGCTGGTACGCAATCAGTTCATCAGTTCAGCAGTGCGGTGTAGGGCAGCAGCCGTGATAACGGACATGTATGTGGTCCATGCCTCGAGCCGGGTAGCTACATGTATAATTATCATGAACCTTGCGACGTACCTGCTTCGCGTCATCCGACTCAACGATATTTAGCTGGCTATCGTTATTTGGGCTGTGCACCAGCCGGAATGTTGGGACGGAAGTGTGCAAGAATTTCAGGCAACAAACTTGAAAAATCTACGAACTCCCCTCGCAAGATACGTTCTTGCACAGCCTTGGGTACAGCTGGTGCAGGTGGCTGATCGGGTGGGTTACAGGAGCTTGACCTGGCGTAGTGGCGGCAGCAGCCGCATTGCCTTGGTCTTGGGTGAGGAGCGGCACAATGCTCTCCGATAATAATAAAATGGCGGCCGACAAAGCCGACTACACCTCGTGCCGCACGGGAGCGCAGAGATCCGTTGAGCCCGCGTCACCTGAGCTGGCGGAGGATGCATTGGTGCACGTTGGGCTTCTGGGCTCGCGAGCTGTGTCCGCACTGTCATGTTGCTGGTTATCCTGGCCGGAGCAGACCTCACTACCAATGGCTAGTTGTGCCAGCAAACGGTCCTGTAAATACTTTTACTAAGTTTCCTTTCGGATTCAAGCCGCGCTGAGAAGGCTCGCCGAGGAGGGCTTGGCAAGGCATTGCCTTGACAGTGTCGACAGTTAGGTTTTTGTTTGTTGTTTGTTTTCTTTATTTGAATTCGTTAACACCAAACGGACAGAACTGTCCAGTGACAAGGGAGCGTATGATGAGCGTCATAATCACTATGCATCAAAGCATCTCAGGACAAAATGAGACAGACTATATTAAAGTAGGGTCTGCACAACACTTGTACATAAAGGGGAGTACGAGAACAAAGGCGCCGCAGAAGTCGAAGCAAGAAAGCAATCAACGCCAGAGATGATTTTGTCCACCAAAAACAGAAGTCAGACCTACTGAAGAAATACAGTGTCGAGGTGACACTCGGGCTGGCAGCAAAGCTATGAAAGTAAAAGAAATACTGCTGAAGCACGATCCTATGTCTGGAAGAGCCCTTTATTCCTGAAACACTGCTGAAGCACGATCCGTTGTCGGGAAGAGCACAACAGGGCAAGCAAGATTTGTTTTTCTTTTCTGCAAAATGGGCTGGTGCCATTTGTGATTACGCAGCAAAACAAAGCGCATGACGTCAGTCTTGAATGCAGTACAAAGCAATTCAGTGCAGTGTGTGTGCGCTAGTTCGGATTGTTGCTAACAAGTACTAGCACAGCTAGTTCACCATTAAATACATCTACTTTCAACCTCATATCTTACCCCTTTTTATATCAATATTTCTCGTAGTGAACGCAGACCGAACAAGCTTGTTTTCAACTTTTCTTACCTAAAATTGGCAATTCTTTATTAATTATAATTGTTATTATTATAGAGTCGGCGTGGAGAAAGCAATTTTATTAGTGCAATTAAGAGTATAATCGATGCAGACATGGCCAGACAACAACGAGTTCATGGAAATTTTTAAGTATTTTTATATTCTTCAAAATCGATTTTCGTGTTCCGCCCATCAGTGAATAGTATCGGAACGGAGGGTACTGTGTAAAAAAAATAGAACATTTTATAACAGCATAATTAAAAGTGTGAACAAAAAAAAGGAAGTGCTACAGCATTACATAATAGGTGTCAAACATAGTGCTAACATATATAACTGAGTGCAGGCACAAAGCATGAGGTGATACAGTGCAACGTGACACAACATTTACATCTGATAACCAGCTACGAGAACAACTTTAGCGCGACTACATGCTTCTTTTGTTTACAAAGAACAGGATTATGCACACGAATACATACAGCTTCCAGAACCTTCAACTGCTTAACATAACTTGCACGGCACAAAACAGAAAAGTGAGAATCATCGTACACACTAAGACAATCTGGACGTGATAACAAGTGACAAAATACAGCTGACTTTTTGCTCACGTCGCTCTCTTCCGTCTCATCCCGCTCCTTTCCTTCAACCTCCTCCGCCTTATCCTCGTCCTCCGTCTCATCTTCATCATCATCGTCCTCATCACCACCATCATCATCATCAGTCACTTCCTCATCATCCGTTTGATGCTCAGTCTCACTGCACTCCTTATCAGCCCTCAACATGGCTCCATCATCTCCAACAGCATCACAAGTCGTTTGACCGCTGCTCCGCGTCACCGTTGCTGGGTTCTCTGCTACTGCACACCCATTTCCACTGTCCATTTTGCGTGGGCCACGTCCATTCCGTGCATAAATTTCAAGTGAATAGTTAGCTGTGCTTCTTCTGGGTCTATGGGTAAGGATATTGGTTTCATTTTGGTTTGTCGATGATCTCCCTCTCTGTCCAGACACAGTCGGCACCGTGGATCCCAGCACCGGGGGGACCACCGTCTCGGTAGTCACCAAAGGTAAAGGGGGTGGCTCAGTCGGAGGCAAGGGCAATTGCCGAGGTGAGGGTTCAGTTTCTCTCGGTAGCCCCTCCTCCATTCCAGGACGATGATGCTGTGCTAGAGTAGGCTCCGCTGCCGTTCGCCGTGGGTCAAGAAGTGGTGGCCAGGTCACTGATGGCAAACCCACCTCAGCTCCAACCACCCACGGCACCCCAGGTGGTGGGGCCGGTGGTGGCACGGGAACAGGCGGCGCTGTCGGCACAGCGTGTTTGTCTACTGAGCTAACTGGGTTCTTCCACGGCCTACCACGCTTTGGCCGCTTTGCTCTGGCTGGTGGTGGTAATAAGTACGTAACCTGGTGGGGAGAGCAAAGCGGCTCTGCTCTGAAACGAAGCTTAACGACGAGCTGGAATTTCTCAGATCAATATTCCTTAAGAATGGATACCCACATGACTTATTGAACAAAATACTGAAGCAAGAATCTAATAACAAAGATACATTCACAGGTCCTCGGAAGTGTCCTATCTACTTATGCCTGCCTTGGAAAGGCAACGCGTCTGTCACCATGTCCAGAGCTATCAAGACCCTGGTCAATAAAACATACTTTGCTGCCCACTTCATGCCCGTGTTCACCACAGTACGTGCGTTCATGGTGAGGAAGGATGTCCTACCTCCCCAGCTTTCAAGCCATTTGGTTTATCTCTTTGAGTGCCGGAATTGTGCTGCCCGGTACGTTGGTAGGACTCTTCAACACCTGAACGCACGTATCAGACAACATGTGCCGTTGCACTTATTACCACCAGCAGCCAGAGCAAAGCGGCCAAAGCGTGGTAGGCCGTGTAAGAACCCAGTTAGCTCAGTAGACAAACACGCTGTGCCGACAGCGCCGCCTGTTCTCGTGCCACCACCGGCCCCACCACCTGGGGTGCCGTGGGTGGTTGGAGCTGAGGTGGGTTTGCCATCAGTGACCTGGCCACCACTTCTCGACCCACGGCGAACGGCAGCGGAGCCTATTAGCTTTGCACCTTCCGAGTTGGAATGCTGTTGGAGTAAGCATCCAACTGCTAGAGCTGTTAGCCAGTTAGTACCGTCGGTCAGTTTCGTGCAATGTTATTGCGCGAGCTGATTGTTTAGTAACTGGTTGTGTTAGTTGACATTATAGCGTTACTTGTAGTTTCTTGGTACTTTTTCTTTACGCTACACGGAAGGTCTCTGTACCAATTTCGCAACTAATTTTTATTATTATTACACAGCTTCGCGTAATGGAGATACGGTAGATTAAAACGAAGTAAAAAAACATACCATATCCTGTCATAGGTGGCGAAAAATTCAACTCAAGGGTAAAAGGAGCCAACTTCGAGTCAAGTCGGAAACCTTGCCACGTCGGGTGATATCTGCTCCTTACAGAAATTTACAGAACAAGAAATGTTTCCAAGATTTACAGATCAGGAGGCTAATCATTTAATATAGTAGTTAACTTACGAGTGCACCTCTGATAACCACTCCAAAAAGCCCATGCGCCATTTGCTTCACAATCTGCGTACCACTTCACTGAACTCTTAGTATACCCCAGATCACAATCGAGAAAGGCCTGCGACGGAAACACGTCTCCACTTGGATAGGTGATAGTTCCGTTAGCTACAGGAGATAATGCGGTACCACAGTGTTGACTTGGTGGTGAAACTGTATGGTAAAAATTCAAAGCAGAAGAAGGATCCAGTTATCTAGTTATTGAATCTGGTGATTTGATATTCAAGTCTAAAATTATGGATAATTTCACGAACTGCTATGCAGTTCTGTGTTATATACTGAATACACACGATCTCTTTTTCGGGGACACACCTCATCATGCAGACGCGATGGTGCCTGGTCGAGGGCTATGCTCGACATTAACCAACCGAGAGTTTATCAAAATTCTGCTAACTGATCCACATTGTCTATAATTATTAGCAGTATGCATTGTTTCAAACGGAGAATCAGCGGGAATTGAGAAGTACATGTATATTATGGTACTTTAGAAAAAAAGTACCAAACAGAACAAAACAGAAGTGATATTATTTTACTACTCAGTTTGGTACATGTAGAGAACTCTGCCCACACTTGTGATGATTTAAACTTGGATGGTGAGGTAATATTAAGTAAAAGTAAAAACAGACCATAAAGTTACTAGGTATGTCTAACAGTTCACCAAGGTAACTAGATTCTATACGTATTAACACACCTCTCTCAACTTCGATAATCACCAACGCAGTCTCCTATTCCACTATCGTTGTCTGATGATTGGTTTTATTTATTTATTTTATTTATTTCACTCAACTCGTGGTTCATGACCAATTGGCACGCAAAGTGAGAGAGAGGGGTGATAGCCAACCACGGCAAGAAAAGAAAAGAAAGGAATATAGAAAAAGAGAAGAAAGAAGGATAGACAAGAATCCAGCAATGAGATTCTATCGTACTACATTATGCGATTCGAGTGCATTTTTAAAGCTGGAAAGACATTTTGATGTCTTAACATGTTGCAGCCAAAGGCTGTAGGACAAAAACAGAGGAGAGTTTGTAAATGCGGCTGAATTAGCACGGGGAAGTGAGAGACTATTACGAGTGGACCGGGACAGAGAAAACCAATTGAATACGGAGAGATGAATGTGAATTTCACCAAGGCGAATTCTGTGGATCAAAACGCAAAGCTGCTGTTTGCGATTATCTTGCAGTGGCTGAGTATTGCTGATACAATAGAGCTCAAGACTAGGAAATAAACGCTGCTGGTTAAACAATATTTTAAGTAGAGATTTATGTTGGATTTCAAGTTTGTTCACAAGATGTTGACTTCGACTACAGCAAGACTGACATGCATACTGGAAAAAAGGTAATAGATACGAGCGATAAAACATAGAACGGCATGTATTTGGCAAATGAGAACGATGAGGATATAGTATGCCGAGAACACTACTAGTTTTCTTGCAAATATAGTCTACATGAGGAGCCCATGTTAGACAGTCGTCAATAAATATACCAAGGTGGCTATGTTCATGGACAATTTCTATGGTCGATGAGCTGCCAGGACATGATAAAGACAAATTACAGAAGTGATCACTAGCACCGCTACAGAAGAACATCACTTTGGTTTTACTAGTGTTCGGTCTCAGCTTCCAAGTCGACATCCAAGAAATGGTGGAGTTTATCTTTTTCTGGAGGTCATTGACTGGCAATTGCTTGCAACTACTTGAAGCGGAAACTGTGGTGTCATCGGCGAACAGTGAAACATTAGGGACAGACATCGGTAGATCATTGACGTAGACTAAAAAGAATAGTGGCTCCAGGATTGACCCCTGCGGCACACCAGAATTAATTGCCTGGGGAGACGAGAGGGTGTTGCCGACGCGTACAGCCTGTGACCTGTCAGTTAGGTAGCTTTCAAAGAAACAAAGCAGGTTGCCACCAATGCGATAGGCACCCAACATGGCAATCAGGCCTCTACGCCAAACAGTGTCAAAGGCTTTCGCCAGGTCAAAGAAGCACATGCCAGTATGTTCTTTCAAATGTCGGGACTGCATGATGTTTTGGATTAGGTGGACTAGGTGCAGAGCTGTGGAGTCCCCTCGCCGGAAACCAGACTGCATGGTATGCAAGTACGGGGACAAGTGTCGATATAGCTGATCGTACACAATGCGCTCAAACAGCTTTGAAATACAGCACAGTATGGAGATGGGTCTGTAGTTCGTTGCATCCGACCGGCAGCCTTTGCGCTTATAAATTAGGACCACTAATGCGTATTTCCATGCGGAGGGAAAGATTCCAGACGACAGAGAGATGTTAAAGAGCAGCGATAACGGATATGCTAGGCTGTCTTGGAGGTGTTTCAGGATTTCGTTTGGTATACCATCGTAACCAGGAGACTTCTTATTGGGGAGACTGCGTATGTATCTGGCTACAGTACGGGATGAAATCGTCAGCGATGTAAACGTTGACTCTGAAGGTATTTGGTGGATAGGAGGAACTAACCATTCAGGTCTATTCTTAACGCAGAAGCTGGTAAACTGCTCATTCAGAGCATCCGCAATATCAAGAGGCGCAGTGGCGTAACTTTGGTAAGACCGTGTGATTGCTGTTGGACTAGAGCCCAATGACGCTGCTGATTTACGAAGAGTTCTTATAAATGAGTGAAGTGATGGACGCTGGCTGTCGGTGAGAGAAGTAGTAATGGACTGGATTTTTTCCTTATGGGCTACACGTGATAACGTTTTTGCTATATTCCGCTGACGTTTGTACTGCGTTGCTTTGGACGGGGAAGGGTATTTTTTAGGGGTGAAACGAAGGTGTCAAAGGTTCGAAGAACCTTCGTTTTCAATTGAAACAAACCTTCGTTTTCACTTCAAAAGAAGGTTAACACACGATTTCTGAACACACATGCACTGATCTTCCTTGTATACAGGAGGTACTGTACTGTAGTTTGTACAGTCGACTAGTTTTGTGTCCACTTGGCTCCCGGTAGGTGCCATTGCAAGTCCATAGTAGGCCACGGACTGGGCTTGAGCGTGGCCATTCACGGCCAAGGTGTGCAGAAGTAGTCTTGGGCAGTTTAGGGTGCAAACTGCGCAGTGCAAAAGCTATGAGCGTGCCAATTGTGGTGACTGCACAGCAAACATGTGCAAAGTCATGTACTTTGTAGGGCACATGCACAGAGTGTGCTTCAAGAGGAACTGTGAACTGGTAAAAGAATCCTTCGACACCTTCGTTCGTTTTCATGAAGAAGGTTTGTTTGGCAAATTGAGACCTTCGTTTCACCCCTAGTATTTTTTTATAGATGCTGTAGAGGTCATGCTTTCTCTTAATGCCTGCCCTGAGCACTGGTGTCATCCATGGTGGATCCTGGCATGAAGGGCGGCTTCGGTTTCTGGTGGTTGACTGGTGATCGCGGTGAGAAGAGCAGACTGAGAGAGACGATTCGAGGACAGACGAGAAGTTAGAAACGGCTGTATCAATATCAAGGCCGCATAAAAGGTCACTCCAGTGAGTTGCGGCAATCTCAGCATTGACGCCTTCCCATTGCGATTGAGTGAGCAAGTGATGGCTGAAGCGAGGCGGTGCAGTGTCAGATGTGGACTCTGGAGACTGTGCTATGTCTTTAGCTATGGAGAGCCTGCCGAGGACGATTAAGTGATCGGAGGCACCCAGGGGGCTCAGGGATTCAATGAACGTGAACCTCTCGGGAATGTTTGTGGCGACCAGGTCCAGGCAGCCACGGGGCCCATTGGATGTAAGATGGGTGGGGAACGTAACAAGTTGAGACAGTGCTATGGAGCGAAAAAGGTTACACAAGGCAGAGCCTACAGCAGATGTTGAGTCGGAGGCACACCAGCTCTGGCAATGGGCATTAAAATCACCAGTTACAATGGTAGATGATGAAGCAGGTAGCTTAATGAGAGCAGTCCGCAGAGTGTCTACAAAATATTGTAGGTCAGCAGCGTGCTGGTTAGGGGGTCTATACAAGCAGGCAAACGACAGTGGTTGGGATGAACCTTTGGGAGTAGCTTCAACAGCAATTGCTTCAAAGTTCTGTTGGCAAAATGAGTGAATCTCTCTCACTTTGCTGAAGGCGGTAGTGAGCACCAGGATGGCAACAACCCATAGTCTCTTAAGGGGTCAGGGTTAGAGGGAGTTTGCGGTCGGTCACGGCGGAATACTGAATAATGTCAGGCTTCTTGGCATTACAAAGGATGGAGAGTTCACCGAGTTTGTTGTTTATTGAGCGTGCATTTATCACCGCAACAGACACGTGGGAAGAAGATTGAGTAGAATGATTAGAGGAACTAAAGGAGCTGGAGATAGGATAAAAGGGCTGTGCAAAAACATTTAGTGTAGAGTCCAGGCTCGAGGAACGGATGTGCGCCCGGAAGGAGAGAGTACTGTCAAATAACACTCCTAGCAGCTTGAGCTGAGGGCTCTCAGGCACCTGCATGCCATCAAATGTGAGCTGTGGGACAACATCCAGGGGTGGTCTGTGGCGGTCAAAGAGTATTGCCTGAGATCTTGATGGCTCAAACTTTATCTTCCTTTGGGCACCCCAAGTCTGCAGGCGGTCAATAGATCATCATCAGCACACGCCCACAGCCCTGAAGCCGTCGGGGCGTCACAGAGCAAGTATGAACAAACGAGCGCCATAAAAATCTATCGCGTGCAGCAGTGAGCAGGGACTGCACGTCAAGTGCAGTCCATGAGAAAACATTATCAAGCCATGACATTCTGGGCCTACCTCGGCCACGACCTCCAGCAACACAACCCTGAAGAACAGTCAATGACACATAGCCGGAACGAACACTATGACCAAAACATTGCAATTTCCTTTTACGAACAGAAACAATAAGTGGGAGTTGTTTAAGAATACTATTTATTTCCTCTCTAACAGACACATTCGTCCGGTGACGAGTGAACGGAATCCTGAGAAGGCGTCGATAGCTTCTCATTTCGAAAGCCTTGATTTTTTTCACAATTTCAGCAGTTAGGCTCCAAGACTGGCTAGCATAAAGGAATATGGATAAAACAATAGCATTGAGTAGACGTAATTTCGAGCCGATACTGATGTTTCTATCGCTCCAGATTGTTACTATTCGTGCAACAGCAGCCGAGGCTGCTGCGATCCGACTCCTCACTTCTTTGATTGAACGCTGATCATCAGTAATCGTGCTGCCCAGATTTTTGAACTCGTCAACCTGCTCGAGCTGCTTACCGTCGATGGCTATGCTTGCGGACAGACCTTTGCTGGTTCCCGTTACCAGCAGCTTACTTTTCTCAGTGCTGATTTTCTTGCCGTTCTTCTTCGCTGCCAGCCACCAGATCAATGTCATCTGCAAATCGCAGGTATGTTATAATGCGTCCACCAATGCTAATGGAACCCGCGAATCCCTCTAATGACCTAGATACCAGTTCTTGCAAGAAAATGTTGAATAGGGAGGGCGATAGAATGCAACCTTTCCTAACGGAATGGAACCAACTCCTAACCGTTGTTTCTACTCTTACAGCATTCTGGGACTGCTGGTACATGCTGGTACAGGGACTCGATCAGTGTGATGATAGTCGGGCTAAGCCCGCACTTGCGCATTATCTTCCACAGAGCTGCGTGCAAAACTCTGTAACAGTTTTACACCTACTTTCACCACTCACACCTTATCACCTTGTGTCACACCTACTCTCATATATATAACCAGTATATTGAGTAATAAACGCTCTCTTCTTCCTTCGCTCAATGAAGAACTATTACATTGGTAGCAAGAGGATGGATCTCCATCCCCTGTGGTCGTTCGTGGGCCTAGTTTTTGCCTCGGCTATCAGGTCTATCGTCGTCAGCATCTGGATCGTCAACCGTCTCCGGAAGGAAGCTCTACCCTCTACTCAGTCGTCACCCCAGTGCGTTCCTGAGTCTCGTGCTTCAGCTTCCCAGCCTGCACCGCGTGATCGCCCACACGTCAAGGAGCCATCCGTGTTCACCGGAGATCCCACCACGTTTCGGGAATGGGCATTTGCCGTCGAGTTGGCCTTGGCTTCGTGGCGCTTCGCGGATCCTAAACGTGAAGCTGAGTTTGCCGCCAGTTATATCGCTGGAAATCCGCGTCTGTGGTCGATGACTTCCCTGGAAGCCGGCACTGCATACCCAGACTGGTCGTCCTTGAAGAAGGCATTAGAGGTGGCTTACGGTGTGAAGTACGACCAAGAGAGAGCTCGGTGGAGTTTGTTCTCCCTCTCCAAGCGCGGCGCCTTAGGAGACTACATCGCAGAATTCTCGCGGCTCAGTTTTTTAATCACTGACCTGGATGGCCCCTCTCGCGCAGTACTATTTGTCGGGGGCCTGGTCCCGAAGCTCAAACGTGAAGTCATGAAGGAGCATCCTACAACTCTGCAGAAGGCGACAGAAGCAGCGCTCGCCGTATCGCAAGTGATGCCCTTCATTACGGTACGACAGCAGCAGGGGAACCCGGTACGTCGTCCACTGTCGGTTCCTGGTCCCCGTTCCAATCGCGAGGAAACGGAACGACGATGCTACATATGCCACCGACCTGGTCATCTGGCACGTCTATGTGACTCGAACCCAAACGTTGGACGCCAGTAAAAAGAGGGGTGCGATTACTGGCGTTGAGAGAGCACCCAAGGTCACCGTGCCAGTCGCCAACAGGTTTAGTTGCCTGGAGACAGACGACGTGGAGACCGATGATGGCGACGACACCCTGGAGTCTCAAGGCCCACAGTGCGTGCGGAGCTACGTCAGCAACATTGCCCTGGATTCGCACGCGCGGGACCACGATCTTCTTGTTGTGAACGGAAAGGTGAACGGCCACCGAGCGACAATGTTAATATACTGCGGGTCAACACCCGATTTTTTCTCGGAACGATTCGCAATAAAACAAAAGATGAAAACGAAGATCGTGGAGGAGGTTCTAAAGGTGGCCTTGGCGGACGGATCAACCAGTTCGCGGCCGCTAGAGACCACCGACGCTCGCTTGGCCGTAGGAGGCTATGGCGATGACCAGCGCCTGACGGTCTTTCCCCTTGATCGATATTATGATGTGATCCTGGGAAAACCCTGTCTCACCAGGAATAACCCAGCTATCAACTACCGCACCAACGAGGTCAAACTGGGTGCCGAATCCCTAATCGCGGGTGAACCCACAGGCGACGCTGCTGTTCCCTCGGAGATTATGTTCATCTCTGGCAAACAAGCCAGGCATGCGCTACGGCAAGGCGCAGAGGGTTACCCGGCTTGGCTCTCTTCCCCCGACGACAGTTCGTCCCATGAGCCTCGGAAGGAGGTACCTCCGGACAAGCAGCGTGACGTCGATGAGCTGCTGCACAGATTCTCGGACGTGTTCCCCGATGACCTCCCTTCACAGCTTACCCCAGAAAGGTCAGTGGACCACGAGATTGAGGTCGAACACAACTCAACGCCAACATCCAAAGCAGCGTACCGACTATCCAAGCCCGAGATGGATGAACTACACAAGCAGCTGACTGCCCTCCTGGGTAAAGGATTCAACGAGCCTAGTAAGTCCCCGTACGGAGCCCCGGTGTTCTTTGTTAGAAGGCCGATAGGTCATTACGAATCGTTTGTGACTGGCGGGATCTAAATAAGATCACTAATAAGACAGTTAAAAACAAAGCCTGCCTTCCGAACATTGACGATCTGTTCGACACCGTCCAAGGGGCTCGCTACTTCACGAAATTAGACCTCCGTTCGGGATACAACCAAATCAGAATTAGTGAAAAAGATGTACCCACAACGGCAATTAATACCCCCTTTGGACATTTTCAGTTTCGGGTAATGGGATTTGGTCTTACCAATGCGCCTGCCACATTCCAGGCCTTGATGAATTCAATACTGCAGCCCTATTTACGTGATTTCGTGGTCGTATTCCTTGATGATATCCTTATCTTCAGTAAAACATGGAGCGAGCATTTGAGGCATGTCAGCACTGTTTTGGAAACCTTGAGAGCCAACAAGTTATACTGCAAACCCTCAAAGTGTGAATTTGAAATGTGAATTTAAAATGTTGGCTTGAGACACCGAAGTGTATTTTGGTTCCTGCAATAGCCTGTTCTTCGCTTTTATATTTTTATTTTTATTTTTTATTGGGAACACAGCCCTACAAAGAGACATGTGGACGCAAACACAAAACAAGACACAGGGGATGTACAGTGAGCAACTGGACCGACCAGGGGTCTCGGCGTTAGCGTTGCAACCTGGCATTGAAAAAAGGGGGGGGGGGTTGCATGGTCAAGTAGCAAAAGAATAATTTGGTGCAAGAAAGAGGCGCTAGTAGTGCACCAAATAATGTAAATACGTGAAATAACTAAACCAGAAGGGAAAAAGAAAAAAAAGAAACCAATAACCATAACAAGCAAGTACTAGTAGAAAGGTAAATACTAAATGGGTCTCAATATCATCGGGACAGGTACTGTGTGGACCACAGCTATCTCTTTCGGATTAGATCATTACATCCGTTGACCTTGAAGGTTTGGAGGCGTCTTGCATGAGGTTCTTGAAGCAGGAGGTCCGCAGGCAGGTTGTTCCAGTGTGTGATGGCGGAGAAGGGGAAGGATTGCAGGAGGTAGTCAGGCGTTGTGCGAGGGTGTGTTCACTTCAGCTGGAAATCATTTTGCGTCTAACGTCTTTGACGTGTGCACATTCTAGCTACGGGAAGGGGCTTGGTTGGTGGAAGCATGGCCTTTACCTGGGGAGGCCCTGGAATGTAGTGCTGCTTGTACAAGTTTGATAGGGCTGCCACCATTGGCGAAGATGAAGACTTTGGAGGATGGCTCCAGGTCCCAGGAAATACAGGGCACGTTGCTGAACTTTGTCCAGCTGGGCGATATAAGTTGCGGCTGCGCTCGAGCAGACCAGTGGGGCATATTCAAGTAGAGGTCACACGAATCCATTGTAGATTGCCACTCGACCATCGTCGTCCAGGATGGGTGCTGCCTTTCGTAGGAAACCCAGCCTTTCGGAGGCGCGCAGTACCACACTGAGAGTGTGCGCTCTGTAGGAGAGTAGGGTCAAGCATGACTCCCAGCAGCTTCAGGGCATCTGTCTCCTGGAGTGCTTCACTTCCAAAGGTGACTGGTTGAGTGCAGGGGGCGCTACCTTGTTATTCCGAAGTTACTCCCGTTTGGATTTGCGAAATAAATCAACCAATATCATAAAATCACTAGGAACTAGATCGAAACTAGTGCCCATTTGAAACCCGGAAAATGGACATAGTTTACCGTAGAAAAACGCTCCTCGCTCTACGTTGTGAGATGCACTTTCGTACAGTAGGGGAGACAGTGCATGGGGTCAGTGCGTATAGGCAAGCAGATCTTGCAACTATGGGATGGGCGTTTGCAGCGGACTTTACGGTACAGTATCTGTTCCTGGCTTGGAGCCTCTTCGTGGCCCGTATACGCGCGTACTCAATTGCCCTTGCAAGGACTCTGCGTACGACATGTTGGTCCGCGAGTTGCGTACGACATTCCTCGCATCTGGAGCTGCTGTACCTGGGCAGTCTTTTGCCAGATGGCGAGAGACACTGCGGCGCCAGCAAGTGTGAATTTTACATTTGTGCCATACTCTTACAGTCCGGGAACCTTCTGGCAAGCTAGAAAGCACAGCCTTCTTCAGGGAAACTTTGACATACATGGTCCCCTTGTCAACTCCAAACCCCTCATGGCTAACAATCGTACGTGCACAATCTAGTTCATAACTAAAAATGGCCTTAGAGTACTGACTGTTCAAAACCTTGTTTAGTTGGTGGACTCGATCGCATAACTTGTGCCCACAATTTCCATGTTAAGTACAAACAACAGTGTTACAATTATTACATAACCATTTGATAAAGAGGAAATACTTTTTACTTTCTCAGATTTTACCTGCATCAAGTCTGGTGTTTATACACATGACAACATCAGCGGCTGGGCATGGTGTCACTTTAGGATAGCAAGTAACACCTCCGCTTCCGTCCGACACCCAAACAGAAACGGATCTTTTCAGATTGGTGGTGATATAAGCGATATAGGACTGAGAACATGTTCCAGCGATATCAGACATTGTCACCAATGTAGTTTGAACAGCAGTACACCTAGCTTCTGCAGCTGATGAAGCAGTTCCAATCCAGTTACCGTCGCTTACAAAATAACGCCCTCCGTCGTTGCAATTATAGTGAGCTAAGAAGAAGAAACCGAGGAGAGAAACAGCATAGACGAAATACTGCATAAAGCTTTAAACAGCGATTGAAATCTCAAATGGTATTGTTTGCTATGATGAATTATTTTTACATGCCTCAGGAAAGCTGAGAAAAAAGAAAAAATGACCAGATTGGGTACATAGACGCTACATAAACAGTGCAGGTGAGGTACGGTACACTTCATTTTCGCTCCATGGACAAGACAGTAAGTTAACAAAGGGTTAAGAGAGCATGTCTGAGAAAGCCGGAACAGCTGGGCTGGACCATCTTTACCAATTTCGCCCAACAATTGCAATAAGGTTTCCTTTGGGGTCTGCAACAACCATGCAAAAGAGCCCGTAGCACAACTTATGGGCACCTTGGAACTGGGGACCACCTCGAAATGGGTCCAAGATGCGACTGAATTTTGGGACCATAAATGAGCCCTTGTATAACGTACAAAATGGATCTAAGAACAAACCACCAACAGGCCAAAATTATCTCACCTGAATTATGTTCACATCACCACCACATAGCCCCCTGGCTAAATCCGGTGAACCAATGTCCATTTTGTCCAATTATCACCATATTTTCTTACTAAAATGGCCCAATGTCAAGGGCCATAGCGGGAACCATTTACAGCGTCCAGGTGCACTATCTCCACTATCACCTAGGACATGTCTCGAAAAACAAATGTTCCACATTCCTTGGAAATAAACAAATTGGAATATTTTCCCTTCTCTACATTGCAACTCCGCCAATTTCCAACTGGATGAAGGAAAGCGACTCCTGAATCTCCAACATCAGGCACCGTTCCAGACGCCATGCACTGCAGCACTGTCATCTCTACCGGGTCTGACAAGAAATATGCTCTGTCAACCCTTATCACTCCAAACAACAAGCATGTCCTTCCCTGAGCGACTCGAATGTCACTAGCAGTATTAAAAGCTCTGTAGAAATGCAAAAATACTGAACAATTCTCGATTTGTGTGATCGAAACACGATATTTTTGCCTCCTGAAACTGGCCATGCGACGCGTGACATAGCAGATCGACGCGATTGGATCGACTCGATCGACAAGCAAGATCATAATCAAAATCTGCACTACTTTGAATTATCATGTTGATCAGCAACTATGCTATGATGTTTGCTGGTTAAACGAACCATGAAAAGGCATGATGCACAGGATTTCACCGTATGGGACTAGCTGTAACCCGATTTACAGACAGCACTTATTTGACTGTTCGATCACGTAATCGCCACAAATTTGAGATTGGCCTGTAGGGTACAGAAAAACATACATTCACGGCTATTTCGTGTATCTGTTCAGTTGGAGTGTGTTTCTTGCATTGTTTGAGGATGCCAACAGTATTTTTTGTTGCGGGCATGAATGACATCTGTTGCTTGAGCGATATAGCTCGACACAGAGAATTCAAAAGAAGAGGTTGGTGCGACTTGGGCGATACTTGAGGAATTGTGTGTTGCTCCCTAGCTGGGAGCTCGCGGTTTTCCTGCCTACCTGAATTCTCACTTGACTAGATCACAACTGCCAATCTGTGCACACGAGAAGTCCATCGAACCGTCCAATTGGCAAACCTGCAAGAAAGCACCACTCCCTGCACAATACTCAGTGGTTCCGGGGATTCACCCTTCGTCAGTTGGGCTTGAGTGGGCTGAGGAAGAGCAACACTTATATTGTGCCCTCCAAGCACAACCATCACCTGGGATACAAACTCACAGAAACGCTCCGTTTCCAGCGAGACAAACACGTCGTTAACACCAGATGGCAACGTGAGACACTGTCGCTCTTGGAGGTGCTGAACAAGTCCTGAGGACCGTTGGCCATTCACAACGTTTTTGCCTCCAAACTATCTAATTCGCACGCCGGAGCTGGGGACAACAATGTGAAGAAGAGTTTGTTGCGACTTCGGCGATACTTGCCAAATTGTATTTTGCTCTCTACGTGTCAGCTCCTGAGTTTCCTGCTGACTTGGCTGACTCACGACTGCTCACGAAAAGTTCATCGAACTGTCCACTGGGCAAACCTGATAGAAACCACCACTGACTCCTCAATACTCAGTGTATCGGGAAATTCACCCCTCATCAGTTGAGCTTGAGTAGGCTGAGGGAGATTGTGCCTGAAGAGCACCACGTATATAGTGCTCTTCAAGCACAAACATCACCAGGGATACAAACTTACAGATGTAGCAAGAACCCACCACCCATCGTACCCCCTGCTAGAAGGTACAGCGTGATGACACAGCCTGTTGAGGCGGGGGAGCAGTGTAGCAAGAAGGACCCATGAGTGTGCGTTGTCCCTGGTAGCCGAATCGGTAGGGCACTGTCCCGGAAAGACAGGGGTGCTGGGTTCGAATCCCGCTCCTGGATTCTCATTTTGCAACATAGAGACGCTCCGTTTCCAGCAGCGTAAGTCAGTGTCGATCATGGAGGTGCTGAACAAGCCTTGTTGCCTCCAAACGATATATCTTGCAAGCTCGCGCTGGGGACAACAATGTGAAGAAGAGGTTGTTGCGACTTTGGCAATACTGGGGGAATAGCGTCTCCATTCCCACCGGATCTATATTCCTGCAGCCAGATAATATGATGGCCTCAACACGGTTTTGGTGTTTTGAGCATAGACATCCAAGCCCTATAAATCATTTTTCATTACGAGGTGCATTTCAAAATAACTTCCTTGCTAAAGACGATGGAGTCGCGCTGAGACCAAACGCTGCTCGGTCAACCAGCCCTGCATTGTCATTCGCAGATTAAACTGTAGATCTTTTGGAGACAAATAGGTGCTCGACACCAAAGCTACAGCAAGCAGACTTACGCTAGCTCCACACCTCGCTGCATGCTGTGAACTCCGGCAACTATGGTACATGTATGCCAGAGTCGTGTTTCTGATCAGCCTTTTTCATCGAGAATTTGATTCTGATCTTGATTATCGATCAACTCGATCAAATCCGTCCACCTGCTAAGTCACGCGGTGGTGTGGTCGGTGCATGGTCAGCTTCAAGCCGCAACAACATCGTACTTCGATCACGCAAATCGAGTTTTGTTCAATGTTTTTTGCACTTCTGCAGAGCTTTGCTGCTAGCTGCTAGAGTCGCTCCGGGAGGGAAATGCTGGTTGTTTTCAGTGACAAGGTTTTCAATTCAAATTTCTGCTCAGACCCTGTAGAAGTAACCGCACTGTGGTGTTTTGGCGTGCTGACATCCGGAGTGTTGCCTGGTGTTGGAGCTCAAGGTGTCGCCTTCCGTCAGCGGGAAGGTAATTGGCAATGGTGCAATGTGGTTAAGTGAAAATATTCAAATTTGTTCATTTCCAGTAAGCGTAGAACACTTTTTAAGCGACATATCTTGGGGGGCAGAGGAGATAGTCCGCTGGTCTGCAGTTCATGGTTAAGAAAAATAGACGCCTGAAATGTTTCCCACTATGGTCCTCGGTAATTGGCTATTCTAGAGATGAAATTAATTTTAGTGATATCTGGGGAAGATTGCCATCGCTTTCCTGGATGTAGCCATGGCTCTATGTGGTGGTGAAGTGAAGACTAACCAGGTGATTTAATGATAACATGGTGGTGGTTTGTTCTTAGTTCCATTATGGACGCTGTACCAATCTCAAAATTGAGTTGTACTTTCGGGCCATTTCGAGGTCGTCCCGAGTTGCAACGTGTCCGTAAGTTGTGCAACGAGCGAGTTTGCATTGTTGTCGTAGACTCCAAAGAAAACCTTCTTCCAACATTTGAGCGAAATCGGAGAGATGGCCCAGGCCAGCTTTTCTTGTTTTCTCAGACATGCTGTCGTTAAAATCTGATCGAGAAAGATGGAGGAGGACCAGTAAAATTTACAGAGACAAGGCGAAAGAGAGAAAGAGGAAACCGAGAGATAGAGAGAGACACGGAGAGAGATAGAGAGGGAGAAAGAAAGAAAGACACAGAGAGACAAAGAGACGGGAAGAGAGAGAAGGAGGTATTCCTAAATGCATTTTCCCCAACTCATATTTAAACCTTTTTAAGTTTCTTTCGTGGCATCTCTCCCAGTTCTTGTGTGTAAGTTCTCACCTCTTTTCTGATCCATTGCCTTATGCTCTTTTATGTGCACCATTGCCTTCAGGAGCGCTGTATTTTGTCCTCGCATCCTATTTGGACATTTGACTCCAGAAATGCTTTATCTGAAATGGTCATGGAAATCTCGCATAACAACTGCACTATCATAATCCGATATCATCATTATTCACTTTTCTCGTTTTGGTAGGAAGTGGAGAATCCTCCCTCTAGTGAGAAAGCAGTACTGCCTGTGCCCTGAGCGAATTGAAATAAAAGAATACAACAACAACAACAACAACAACAATTCCCTTACCGACATATTGCTGTGCAGTCACGGACATTACTGCTGCGCTGAGGACCAGTATGACTAGATACCACGATTTCATCTTCTATCCTATGCAATAGGAGTTTTCTTCCCAGAACTGCGACAAACGCACGGCACCCTGTGAACATGCACAGACACAGACATAGGTAGCGACGTTTTCATTTTAATTCGCAGAACCTAACCGGCGGTGTCGCCAATGATAGCAGGGTGTAGTACAAAGGAAAGAACACTCGGTCAGTGAATAACTTAAGAACGAAAAACAGGGAATGTGGTAGACAGTACACGACTGGGACTGTGGAGTACCCCAACCAATCAAAAGGTGCTTGTAGTTTTCAGTTGTGGGTGCTACTGCTAGCAAGGCAAAACGGCAGGCGGGCATGTTTCAACTGGCGGTGGTGGGTAATTCTACACTAGTCGGATCGCAGGGAGGCAACCAGAGGACGCCACGAAACCGTAGAGCAAAGCTGGAAGCACAACGGATTTCGGGAAGTATTCTCTGAACCTTCTTGCGAGGCAACGGCGGGCTCACCACAGTTATGGCGCCGTGTCCAAGACATTCCTTCCAGCAATGGTAAGGTGTGTTTCAAATCGCACGTGCTCGTCTTTCGTGCTGCCCTGACTTCGCATGGGGGACTACTGCTAGAGTGAGTTTCTACTGAATTTGACAGTAATGTCTTGGCCGGAGGTTCGCAAGAAAAGTCTATTGCTTGTGTTCAGGATAATAATTATTCCCTTCTGGATGTGGTAAGCAACTCGGTTGTAGACTTTGTGAGAACTCGCGTTACTTCCTGACACTCAGGGTGGCTGAACTTGAGAGCAATACCATCAGCAAGCTGGACTGAGAGACGGGCTGGCAATTGTTGGCACATGCCTGGTGTAGGAACCCTGTGGGACGCCACATGAGCACGTACCACAGACAGCAGGTGATCCAGGGAGTTGCACTTGTTTGGTGCGTCTTTTGAGGGAGTTTGCAAATCAGTGGAGAGCAGTGCCGGGAAGAACCACGACGAACAGATCCCGTGGAAGAAGTTCATGATTGACTTTGCCAAAACCTTCGACATGTGCAGCAAACACTTTCATATCCACCCGTTTTGACCACAATAAAGCCTTTGTGAAATGACTATCAGCATATTCTGTTTATCGCAATTCTAAAACCATGTCAATCTTTACCAGGAAAATTGAAATTATTATGATTTCCATGTTCCTTGTTTCCGTTGAACACACCAATCCAGCTTGGCAATTCTTCGCATAAGCCAAATGAACAAAAGAAACGAGGAGCGAGTGAAGCCAATGAGGAAAACAAACACATGCAACTGCAGAATAGGAAAAAATATTAATAATAATAAGACAATCCTAAAAGCACACGAAATATCAACCATTTACTTCAATGAAATGGAAAACTAATAAATGGAGCATCAATGCAATACAATAGAGAGTTTAAGAAGCACTTTATTTCCGACATGACGCGAGTGTTCCGCTCGCGTTATTTGGGTCGCGCGACGTATACAACATGGGTGACCTGCAGGTCATGTCGAAATTTGGAGTTTTCCTTCAAATTTGACGTAAATAGCGCGTCAGGTCGGAACCTCACTCCGCCTGTTTAAGATCCGTGCCGCCCTTTATTCACTACGACATAAATAGCTCATTATCCACATGTCCTTTGCGTCTCTGTGTTTTTCACTGTTTTATTTGACATTATATTTCTTTAAACAATCGACGAGGAGACAATAGTCGTAAAATGGCAATAAATAAGATAAATTGTGCACTCATAACAACAGCAAAAATGAAGAAAGTCAAGTTCCATAACGTTTTCTTGTGACTGTCATCAGTGGAACGCCGTCACATAAAAATGTAATAACTAAAACACACACTTATATACATGTAGCTAATATGGTTTCAGGTAGAAATACAGCAGCTAACAAGTACAAAAAGCGAAGTTTGCACCTTTGTAATGTGTGAATATAGTGTATGTGAGAAAGGTAGTGGCAGATGAATGTGATACTGTGTGAATGAATGTAATGGTGCGTGTGTATTATTTGAAGAGTGTGAGTGATACAACGTTTTCTTTCTGTTTACATAGCACAGGGTCACGAGTACGAATATACACAGCTTCCAACACCTGCAGTTGCTTGAAGAAACGTGCGCAACGAATAACACTAAACCAGGAATCGTCAAACACCTTACGACATTCTGGACTGGACACCAAATGCTTGTACACTGCAGACTTCCTCTTGTCAACATCAAACTCCTCCTCATCACTACTCTCATCCTCCACCTCCATTCCAATGCCGCCGTCCATCCCATCGCACTCGTATTCGTCGTCATCAGTCTCCATCTCCTCGCGACACCGCTTCCCTCTCCTTGATTCGTTCTGTGCCGTGCCTGTGCTTCCTCCTGCGTCTCCTTGCCTTGTGTTCTCCACTTGTCTCAGACGTGCCTCTGCTAGTCTCTTGCTTCTCCTCGGTTCTGTTCTGTTTTCAAGTTGTTCCCCTTCCGCTCTTACCGTTGCAGCAACATGGTTTGTTGAGGAGCGACCGTCCGGCGGCCTCCCTTGCCGTGGTCCGGTTTCCGAGGGGGGAACCAGATTAGTCTGCTCGTTCTCCATGGAAGTAGTCGGTGTTTCTGTTTCCGAATTGTGAGCCGTGCTAGGTGTAGAAATAGGCAGCGGATGTTTTCGTGGTCTCCCACGCTTCGGCCTGCTTAACCTGGCAGCCTGGGACAACAATGATAATGGGACGTGCTGCTTGATGCGTTCGGACAAGTGTTGAAGCGTCCTGCCAACATACCGACTACCACATTGTCGGCATTCAAATTGATAAATGAGATGGTTGAAATGGTGGGTTGGCAGGACGTCCTTCAACACTGTGAACGAACGCACCGTTGTAAAGACAGTAACTACATTCACTGCATAGTATGTCTTTTGCACGATCGATTTCACTGCATGACTGACTTTTGTTGATTCAGAGCCTTTCCAAGGCAGGCATAAGAACACCCGACACGGTGTTGGCCCGATTTTGTGTTCCTTCCGTGGCTCTTTGCTCGTGAGCAGTTTTGCTAAGAGTGATGATGGATATCCATTTTTCAGGAAAACTGAGCGCAGGAAATCGAGTTCAGGTTGTAATTTACTGTCAGAGCAAATGCGTCTTGCCCTATCCACCAAGTTCCGGACTAAATTGATCTTGTACTGGGCCGAGCAATATGAGTCATACATTATATATTGTCCTGTAAACGTAGGCTTACGATAAACCGATGTGACAACACCATCACACGTCCTTTCGACTAAGACATCCAAAAACGACAATTTTCTGGATTCTTCGTGTTCACATGTGAAGCGCAGCGCAGGATGGACATCATTCAATTCAGAAAGAAAACGTTGTATCACTCACACTCTTCAAATAATACACACGCACCATTACATTCATTCACACAGTATCACATTCATCTGCCACTACCTTTCTCACATACACTATATTCACACATTACAAAGGTGCAAACTTCGCTTTTTGTACTTGTTAGCTGCTGTATTTCTACCTGAAACCATATTAGCTACATGTATATAAGTGTGTGTTTTAGTTATTACATTTTTATGTGACGGCGTTCCACTGATGACAGTCACAAGAAAACGTTATGGAACTTGACTTTCTTCATTTTTGCTGTTGTTATGAGTGCACAATTTATCTTATTTATTGCCATTATATTTCTTTACGGAGTTGTTTTACTGTTCATTTTGCTACTCTTTCTTTTTCCCTCCCCTTACTTTTATTTATCGCCGTGGTTGGCAACCACCCACTCTCTTAACGTTGGCCGGTGTTTTCACCGAGTCTTGAGATGTAATAAATATAATATATAAATAATGTGCATCTTAATTTGATTCATTCCACCCGATCTTGGTGACAGGCGACGACGTGAGACATCTCCAATAGACTTTCCAAACACAATTGTTTGAATTCTTCACAAAATCGAACTTAGAAGTTGCGACTTCGGCAGTAATAGTCATGAAGTTGATTGTTCCAACTAGGAACACACGCTTCTTGCCGAACTTGCCACTTGACAGACTCACGACTGCCATCCGGAGCACACGAGGAGCACGTCGCACCTTCCACTCGGCAAACCTGCAAGAAAGCACCACTCCTTGCTCAATACACAGTGTTTCAGGGAATTCACCCCTCATCAGTTGAGCTTGAGTAGGCTGAGGAAGATTGTGCCTGAAAAGCACCGCTTATATACTGCTCTCCAGGCCAAACCATCACCAGGGATACAAACGTGCAGAGACGCTTTTTTTCCAGCACGACAAACAACTCGTGAAGCTCCAGGTAGCAGCGTGAGTCAGAGTCGCTCGGTAGTCGTGAGTCACTCAAGTGGAAAGTTCGGCAAGAAGCGTGTGTTCCTAGTTGGAACAATCAACTTCTTCACAAATTATCGAATTATTGATTTGCGCATGCGCACTGTGTCCATGATGTCGTAATTGATATGGCATGAGTCGGCAGTGGTATTTCTAACAAGCACAGAATAGATGAACAAAATCCACAAGGATTTACCGTGAAAAGACCGATTTCTACGTTTTCCCCAAAAAGTTGCAATTGTGCGAATCAAAGATATGTTACATTCGGTCTTTGCAAGCTCATAGCAGCCATATCGATAAAGCAATCTTACTCAAATTTTTAGACATGATGTCTGGAATCTATACGGGCAATTTGACCCCGCATTGGACGAAATCAGAGCTAGTTGAAAATTTCACATAATTTTGACCCCTGAAGGTAGATCGCCACCTTAAGTTGAGGTGGCAGACTACCCAAAAGTCCGCAGAAAAATCGAATTTGTAAATTCATATTGAGTGCTTCATCAGGTGAAAAAGCATGAGTAGCTGCAAATTCTCTGAAGATTTTGTCCCGATCTGACTAGCCGTTCAAGAGTTATGACCGAAAATGTGCCCTTGCAAGGAAAGTTTTTGTTGCACGCTGTCATTTGCTGGCACGCGAAAGTGTGCAAAATTTTGCTCCAAGTCCAACAAATTCCGTTAAAAAACCACGTATTGGGCTGCACGGCTTTTGCCAGCACCCTCGTGATGTTGCAGATATGTGGCTTGATTATTGTAGTAGACGTTGATTTAGTGACTTT